TTAGTTGTATATTAATTATGGTACTTGTCAACAATACATAGTAACGAACAAGGAGATTGTTTTTGGAATGCTGAATGACTTCAGCATCATGATAACTGTTTGCTATAATCAAGCTGGTTGATAAGACTCTGACTAACATGATTTTCTTCATATAATACACAAGCTAAATAAGGTATGGTGTAACTTTTGTGTGTAGTTGTACTTGGATAAAGTTTAGTGAATTTTCTCCTTGTTTTACCAGAGGACAGACATAGGGAGAGATGCGAATACAGAGGATGCACATCATCAGAAAAGATATTTGCAGTCAGCTGTCAAAAAGAGTTTAGGTGGCTATCCACAACCTCATTTATCAGCTTTTATCAGTAATACACCGCTCGCTCTAGTAAACAGCCTTGAAAATCCTACACAGTACAGCGTACTCCTTTCTCTGGAGTCCAGGGGAGAATAAGATGGAACAATAGGTAAGTATACACGGATTACAGGAATTAAGGACACGTAAGAATAGAGGCTGAGTTATACCAGGCGGTATGAGTTTCCGCATATCTTAGGTCAAGCGAAGAATTCTTCTAGAAATCAGGAAAAAGACCAAGAAAGATCAGAAAATAGGAGTAAACCAAGGTTAGATAAGCCTCGTAGTTCACTTGAATAAATTTTGAAGCTAAGGAGGTTAATTCTATGGTTCCTCATAATCAAATGGTTCTTAGCATAAGCATAGTATTCACTAAGTTGTCAATCGAATCATGTGTGGCACGTCACAGACTGATGCCAAACACTCAGTCTTAATAAATAATATGATCATAACATGTTTTAAGCTGGTGAATTATTTTCTCAACCAGAGTGTTTTCGTTCAGCTTTGATGACATTTAAAATGTTCCCATTGAGCTTCAACCTAAGCATCCAACTGAGGTGATGGTGATTTATAAAACTGGCTGGCTACCAGAGCAATTCCTGACAACTTCTTTGAAGTTTGTTTGAGTGCAGATTATTAAATAGACTGCTTAAAGATTCAGAATTTAAAATTAAAAGACAGAACGTCTTCACCCAGTACTGGATATGCTTAATTCATCTTATCACTCATTAGCGAAGTGGCTTGAATCGGTGATATCAAATCTATGCAAATATAGTCCTCCGGATACATCTTGTTTTGTTCGCTGCATTGAAGAAATCAAGGAAAGAGTTTAGCCTATGATATAGCTTGACGTATGTTCTTTGTTTATCAATGTTTCACTTGTTGAAACCGTTTGTTATCTATGTGATGACATTGATTATAATAATATTAACATTTAATTACCTACGAGCCACCTAAAATAACTGACATTAAGATGTATGTCTAGTGTACAGTTTAGATTCAATGATAAAATTTATAATCAGACAGATGGAGTCGTAATGGGGTCTCCACTAGGTCCTGTCCTGGTTGATATATTTATGACAAAGCTCGAAAGCAGGCCACTTAAAGAAATAATCTCGTAACCTTACTTGTATAAAAGATACATAAACGATACCTTTCTTATTTACGACGAAGCATGTTCAGTGGACCAGCTGCTAAGACGTTTCAATGATTGTCGCCCGTCCATTAAGTTCACTCTAGGGGAAGAGTTAAATTCAACGTTCCACTTTCTAGAAGTAACGTTAAAGAGTAAGAATGATGGCTCAATTCAAAGATCATTCTATCGAAAACTAACCTGGACCGATCAATTCACTAACTTTAATAGTTGGATAACTCTTAGTAGTAAAAGAAATCTCATTAACTCGTTGTGTTCCAGAGTTTACAAAGAAATAGAGGTGGTGAAATCGAAACTCTTAGAATAATACTGTCGAATAACGGATACCCTAAACGATTTGTTGATAAGAATCTGAAGAAACGAACCACTTCCCACTCCATTACAGTCCCTTAGAGAAGCTAACCATGAACCTAGAATTCAAAGGAGACACCACAGACGAAGTACTGAAAATCGTCTGTCGAGGTGTATCAATAGTAGCTTCTATGCTACTAGACAGAGACTGATATTCTCCAACCGCCGTCTGACTCGTCAGTGCATGAATGATAGGCTTCTACTTATGTCCATATCTATGTGTATCTACAAATTCGCATGCTCCTGTGGAGCTTGTTACACTGGACGTTGTAAGTGGACCCTCCGAAAACGTGTTGCTGAACATTACCCGGTTTGGCTCACCAAAGGCGAACAAGGGAAAACGACTTCATCCATATATGAACACCTTGTTAAATTAGGTCATTCAGCAGCTCAAGATTCATCCTTTAAAATAATTTTTAAACTGAAACTGAACTACTCTAATGTTCTACGTTTCCATCATTTATGCACAGTTGAAGCATTATCTATGTATGAACAAAGCCCGGAACTTTGCATTGAAGAAAGTTTTGTGAAACCACTTTCTCTACCTTGGCGTTAACAATTCATTTTGGTTACTTTTGTCAGTTTTATTTCACTTCATTTTAGCCTACTTCTCTTATATTATCATCATTATCACCAATTTTCACTTCAATGACAACATTTGACCCACATTTCACTATTCAATATCAATTTGTTCCTTGTTCCCTCATATATTATGTATGTTTCTGTTAAATTATCACCGTTTTACAATTCTTTGACAACATGTGTCTCTTATCTCATCACTTGTTATCATTTCATCCCTCCTTATTCAGTGACCCATTTCCTGTCACACTTCAACAAATACCACCACCTACACCGATTGTATATTTTGCATATTGACTGAGCAACTTTTTAGTGCAATTATCTGTCATTTTACCGGGTATAAATACGACTGTACAGCTTGATAATGAAGTTGTTGAAAAGAAATATTTCTTCGCTGATACGTGTCTTTTTCTTATTTGTTCAGACTGTTATTGGAGTGGTTCAGTATTTAACTTTCAGGAAGTTGGAAGATACTTTTCGAATCTTTTGAATAATAACTGATTTCAGTCAGTTTGATGGTTTGTTGGGATCTGTTAGTTTTAAGTTGGCCTTCATCATGAACTGACATCAGTTGGAGAACAACTAGAGATCTGGAATCATTGAAAAACCGTTACATCCAGGTATAGGATTCCACAATATTGGCAGCCTTGACATCGCCTGAGAACGAAACTAGTGCCTTCAGAAATCCAAGCTTTTGGAGAATTTACTGTATGATTCTCTAACTGTACAAAGAAAATGAAGTCTTGTAATATTCTTATCGTGATATTTTAGACCGTCAGTTTTCCTAAATAGTTATGTAAATCTTTTCAGATGTTTGAGTCGAAATCTGACGTAGACTTAAGAATAAATAGAAACTGAGGGGGAGGATAGATGGTTGTTTTTTACCACTTCCAAACGCCTCATTATTACATAGTCATGAAAGTTGCTAAGAAAATGTAGGTTTCATAGCAATGACTTCTGCGGGCAATTAATCGACTGGAATTCAACGGCTAAAATTTTTTGGCATCACAAGGTTCATAACTTAGTAAAAGTGGTCACCTTTAGACGTCTTTTAAAAGTAGTTATAAATCTCTAGACAGCGTAAATCCTGCCCATAGTTACATGCCAGGGGGTCAGCATGAATAAGCTCCACACGGTGCAGTCATGTAGTGCCGAGTTTTTTGTTGTTGGCTCGTGAAAACTGGAGATACGTTGTTCGCCTGTGATTATGGCTGAAGCCTAGTTGTGCATGATAGTGGGCTGTTTCTTGGTCCCACTGGATGTCAGCTAACCTCCTATTAAGGTGAACTGACGAAAACCGCTGTCAGCGGGATGCATGAGACCAAGATCAGTGGACCTGGTCCACAAAGCACAAATAGTTTCGTTAGCCGTCAGGATTCCGCCCATTGCAATTGTAGGGCATAGTGAATCCAGGTTCCTAATTCTGGTAGTAATTGTTAATGAAGTGATCCTCGAAAACGAACGTGGTTTGACTTGTGGAGGTGAGGAATATTTAGTCAGGAACTCTGGTATTTTAGCCATAGCCTTCGCTCTGTTTCAGTAGCCCTAAGGTGGGCCCCTCTGTGAATCTATCGGGATTATGGGTTCATGGGTCAGGCCTTACAGAGGAATGTCTTTTAAGAAACGTAAGCTGCATTCACTCTGGAAGACCGTGAATATTTCAGTCAGATGCGTTCTACACCTGTCTACCCACAGGGGGGTGAATACGGTCAGCGAGCCGATTACCTAGCACATAGGGATATGCTGAAACCTAACAGTTTGGAGAGTTCTAGGATAACTTTGATCAGTTTGTGGGCGCTTTAACAGAATGCTGTGGCAGGAATTCTCGTTTTAATGTGGATACGTTGTTTGAACCTCTGCCGCTTGGGAGGAAGCCAATCCAAAAGCTATCTGTTGTAACGTCCATCGTTCTAAAGACCGGCCTAGAACTTAAAGCGGAACCGAAAACTGAAATGAAACCCCGACTTAACAAGTATAAAGCAGTTTTGCACTGATCTGTTCCTTTCATCTCAGTAGGGGACTACTCTGAAATCAACTCTTTCCCTATAAACCTCCTGGATAACTACAAAAGTTTTAGTCACATTGGTTATTCATGCATGGTTCGGCCGGTATTAAGTGCTGGCCAGTAGATACAGCAAAATAGTGTAGGGTATATAACATGTGTTATCCGCAAGTTGGAGTTACTAGACATCTGAACAAATTATAGCATACGTCCCTGCCTACTCTGAAGCAGAACAGTTGGTCAGTTCTTGTAAACCACAAGAATACCTCGCAGACTTCAAACCTATGTAGTACGCCTTCGAAGCTTTCTTGAAACTACCTCACAGCACCTGGCAACAAACACCATGAACATCTGCGATACACCTATGAAACAGTTTCACAGTAACTTGGTGGCAACCAAATAGATTTCAGAAGCAGAAAACTGAATCTGAGTACTAGGAAGATTTGTCGTGACGAACTAAGACATAAATCAGTCACTCGCTACCATAAATCATATCACATTTTAATGAGTAACATCTCATACAGTTAATAGTCATAGAAGTCTTTTTATTGACAACGTATACTAACCTGTTCTAGGATACAAACTTTCAACAACTGTTTGTTGACTTCTGCTTTTGATAGTGATCGCATAACGTTAAGTCGGACAGAACTTGCGTGATCAGCGGAAGTGCTGTTTAACTGATCTGTTTTGATGTATACCACTGGTAATTTTAGATGTTTATACTTCCTGGGATCAATTGTGTAGCGAATTTTATTCACGCCAAGTCCAACACTATAGTTAACCCATCTAAAATCAATTAAAGTAGAATAATCGAAGAAATTACACTACACAGTAACTTAATTAACATACAACTGAACTGGTATGAAATATTTTTAGCTTAGGTGATGAATGTCGTCGCAAATGTGTAGCTTGCTGGAGAGCATGCGGTATCAATCTGCATGTGGTCATCAATGTCTCTTCACAAAGATGTTCCTTAGTTAAAAAATTAAGATAGCGACAGGTATTTGATTTGTCTTTACCAATAATGTGAGATTGAGAGGAAAATGGCAAAAATAAGAAGCACTGGGGTGTTGTTTCTTCCCACGAACTTTAGTTTACATGGTAACCCCTACCTCTGACCCTCCTCAATTTGTATGGAAGTGTATTAGGCTCTCAGGTCAGCTGTATCCGAAAATTGTGCGCTGGATCGATTTTACTACCATTTTCAATATGAACTGATATCAGTTGCTGAGATGGCAACTGAAAGCAAAGTTATATTAAGTTGTTATTCGCTGAGTCATCCTCAAACCTAGTTAGGTATACATTTCTTGTTAACCAAAATAAACACTGATCATGACGCATTAAGCAGTCGACATATGCAAAGCATTTTAACTATGTCAGATATACTACTGCTTTAAATGAGTAGTTGAAAATTATTGATTATTTGTCATTGAATTCATCATAAGTGTAACGAGATTTATTCTACTGAAAAAGTACAATTCTATCAAATACCTTGGGGTTTCAAAGTTAGTTTGCTCAGATTTGCATTGTTCCCACCTGAGACTATGAATCCCAAATGCAAGTTTTGATTAAATGCTGCTTTTCTGATATGATTTTTCAAGAATTTTGATTAGATGGTATTCTGATAACGAAGTAATACGTATCTAAATGATTAGTTGGAAGGGATATTAACCACAGAGGTAACTGAGTTCGTTTAAAGTTGATGGTTACATTAGAAGTTCACTCATCAATAAGAAACTGAATGTCGCAGTGTCTTCATGTCTTTAGTAAGTTGTAAAATTGATCTCTTAAGTAAGTGTAGTAAACAATTAGTTTTCAACAGTCATCCCAAATAGCAGGAGAAAAGCTGTGAACTTTCCATCATTAGGAAGTTAGTTCCCTGTAGGTAATAATGTCAGTCACATTCATAGAGAGTTGTAATTAAAGTCTGTCTGGAAGTCATGAATGTGCACTACTGCGGAGCCCAATACTAAGAAGAAACAGCTGTCTAGTGCTCTCAGGTTTCCAATGATCATCTAACTGATGTCAATCTATGATGAGTGCCAACTCGTAAACGATAAATCCCCACAAACCCAAAAAAGAATTTGTCTTGTGCTCATTGCTGATTAGCTTCGACAGGAGGTTCCTAAGTTCCAATGAGAAATCGTGACCTGTGGAGCAAATCTGCTAGACGTGAGGACAGTTACTCAGCAATGACATTTGGTGATGGTCGCGCTGTCGTGAACTGATAGAAGTTGGAAGCATGAACAGCCGGCTACCCACCCAGTGACTCAGTGGTAATGTGTTGGCTACCGAACCTGTAGGTCCGGGATTCGATCCCTGCTGTGACGGGGTCACTGATGAGCACTGCTGAGGAGCCATATGCTTGGATGAAATGGCTGTCTAGTGCTCCAAGGTTTCCAATATTTCTCCAGCTGATGTCACTCCACAATAAATAACAACTTGGAATTTGTGCAAGACTTTACAGTGCATAGTTCTGAAATATAAAACAGCCGGTTACTGGTAAAACTGTCTTCCTTTTGACTACTAAACTGTTTATTTTTTATTATGTTTCAGAAATATATTTTAAAATAACAAAATCATTATAAATACTCGCGGCTTATTATGATTTATTATGCTAGGAATCTCCTGACATCCAACTCAAGATCTTGAAGATTCACACTGAAGCATCATTATTTAGTCAGAAAGAATGGTTTTGTTAGAACAGCCAGATCATCACTGAACATCGTCTTCGGTATTCATTCTTACTTTGTTTCTGGTTTACTTCACAGATCATAGCTTCTAACAAGAACTCGAGGAGATCTATCTCAAAGTCGTGCGCTGATGAGAGCTAATTTTTATCCATTCAAGGAAGTCAGAAAATTCCAACCAATTTCCATTGAAAATTTAACCTCGAGCTCCTGGATTTCATCCTACAAGACATCAATGTCCAGAAATTTCTGAATATCTTAGTTTGAGACTGGAAAAAAAGTCAGTGCTGTCAAATTTTCATTAGCCTTTAAAGTCATATTATTTCATTTTACTCTCAACCTCTGGTTTGAGATGGGTCTGATTTTTTGTCAAATCGAATAGGTTACTTTTAAAAGCTGGTAGGTATACAATATCTGGCTTTCCACAGAGAATAGCTTGATCAATTCTCGCCTCTTCGAACTTTTATTCATGAAATGAACTGGTCGCAAATTGTTCAAACTGTCAAAGATCACCAGCTTAACCGACACAAAATTACAAAACCATTTCAAAAAAGAAATGAAATCTTGGTAGTTTCTCATATATCAAATAGAATTTTTGACATACACGTAGGTAGAATACATAAAAATGTATGTACACTTATATGATTGTTTGTTTTATTACATCAAAATTTGAGATTAAATTTTCAATAATTTGTGTATTTATTGAAAAATCTGAGGAGAAGTATCTTAAATATAAACAGTTTTCACATGTTTTATGATTTAATTTTAGCAAAATAGTAATAAAAAGTTTATAAGCGAATTTCAGTAACTCAAATCAAATTTCACTTCCAAATTATTTGTATAGCAGTAAGAATTCTATTTATTTGTCGGCATTTTAAAGTTAAATTTGGTTTACTAGTTTTTAGTCCCACGAACCTTTACCAACCTCATTCAACAGCTATATGCTATATGATGCTAAATGCCAAGTGATTCACAGTGGAAAGCTCAGTGATGCCTTTAAAGTGGACAGGAAGAAGTAAAACAAGGCTGCCGCCTTCTATCACCCGTGATATTTCTGATTGTAGTCGATTGGATCATGCAAGAAACTGTGAGAAGATGGGCATACGCTGTTCGACCGATGAAAAGACCCTAGAAGATTTAGACTTCACTGATGATGATTTATGTCTAATTTCTTGTCGAACACGCTCGAAGATGTACAGGCGAAAACCAACAAGCTGGCAAAAGAGGCAAGGCAACGAAGATGGGACTTCAGATGAACACAGAGAAGATATAAGTGATGAAGATACCGAACCAACAACAACAAGAAGCACCAGTCACCATCAACGAGAGAAATCCAAAGCAAGTTGTCTCTTTCACCTACCTAGCTGCCTACGCAGCATCGTCTCAGCTACACCCGGCGGCACAGGCACACATGAGGATGTCAAACCAGCCAGGATCGTAAAAATAGCAAGACAGACCTTCCTTCATTATTCTGAAATGATCAGTGTGGAGATCTACTGTACTGAGGATAAAGCGTGAACAAGATCCGGATTTTCAACACTAATTCAGTCAAGTCAGAGCTTATATGTGATGGTTAAGAGATTTGGCACGTTACGAAAGGCATTTCCAACAAACTACAGACATACATCAACAGCTCCCGCCTACGCTCACTCGATACTGAGAATCAGATGGGCAGAAAGAATAAGCAAGAAGGAACTCTGACTGGGAATGAACCAACGAAGCAAGAACCCATCACCCACGGAAAATTCAGAAGAAAGTGGAAATGGATTGTACTGGACTGGGGATACAATGAGAAGGTCATTTGTTGACATCAGGCGACAGGCCAGACCATCGAGTGGAAGCGAAATGAAAAGCGACGACTTGGGCGTGCAAGGGTGATATGGAGGAGATGGTGTGAGGAAGAAATGAAAGGTTATGGAGAGTCGTGGAGCCAGGTTAAGAAGACTGTAGGTCAGAGGAAGAAATGGAGACGTGCTAATGAAGCCCTATGTTCCACTAGGAGCACAAGGAATAAATAATAATAATAATGAAGCAACAGTAGTGAAGAGATTAGAAATCGAAGCTGTCGGCCAGATATATAGATGACTTTTTTGTCATTAGTAAAGAAACGAATTGCAAAAGTGCTCACAAACTATTCAAGACAATTTTCGACGGCATCAAATTCACAATTGAAGAGGAACCCGGTTGACAAAAAACAATAGGAAATCACAAGCGCTAGCATTATTTATTGTCCATGGTGTGAGAGGCTGCTTTGGGAAGTTATTTTATGTAAAGTAATAGACACAAGCTTTGAGTTGCAGTAAGTAAGACATCGTTGGCTAGGTAATATGCAAGATGATTGTCTGATAAGCTCCAAAGTGAGATGAAATATTTTTTCTTGGTTTCTGTTCATTGTGCATGTTTGACAGGTAAATATTGAATCACTGCTTATGACTAGATTTATCACCCAGGACATACTTAGGTTTGATACTGGCTAGTAAACTAAAAGCTGTGAACACAAGTCGTCTGGTTCAGAGAACACTTCAGTAAGATATATTCGCTACATGGATAACTACACCAATTCTAAACCAAGAACCAATCTATTTGCACGGTGCGCTTCTCCATGAGGTCATACACAACTAAAATAGGTCAATAGAAAAGTATATAACTTAAGCATTAAGTACATAAAGTTCCAAACTAAGAGAAAAAATGAGCCCTTGCAATTATTCAGATACACACTGCTAGCAACCGTGATCGTCTCAGAAACATAGATTGATGGCTAATTACTGGTCAATTCCTAATATTTAACACTGTTCTGGCGTATGATCACTTTTTGACCACATCCTAGATTTCAGTGAAGGGTTGTATAAGCGCTTTAGTTTTGACTTCTGTCTCTTAATACTACATATGATTTGTAAATAAATATCTCGAAAATCTACTGATTTCTCTATGAAGCAAATGACATGGATACTAAGAATTATCATTGTATTAGGAAAATATATTTTAGTGAGGAGCATTTTCACCTCAAGATGCAGATGTTCTGACCAAATTGTCTCCTGAATTTAGGATTTGACTAGGTGCTGGCGGTAAAATAAATACATGACCAAAAGATGCTGTATTTAGAACTGAACAGACGATTTTGAAATGTTGGAGAACATTTCTAGGTCAGGTAGATGATCTCAGTTGTGTTGTGTTTTCTTAGCTGAGTGTTTCAGACATGAAGCTTTCATAGTCACTTCAGATAACATCATCAACACCAACTTCAATGTGAAGTGAGTTGTCATTATCTCTCAGTGAGTCATTCAGTAGCCTGTTCTGACAAAGTGGTTTATGACTAGTTGTTTCTCTGCCTAACCTCTGTTCTTGTGGTTGATTATCATTATAATTATTGGTTCATGGCTATGCATCTGTTGGTTGCTAACTGACCTACATGTCAAGCTTCTGGGAAATCTCTTATATTCCTTGTGTTTCATTTTTGAAGTTGACTCCATGTACATTGGTCTGAGCAGCGAAACGTCGTGATGTTCACTAGTCAACTAATGTTCATGTCCAATACAATAGTGATCGCGATTGTGGCAGTTGATTTTGTAGAAAATATCTGATTTTTCCGTTGGTTGTTGCCTTCTCTGGTCTACATGATATGATTTGAAAGGAAATTTTCGGTTTATGAGCGACACCGATTTCAAATGGTCTTAGTAATCTTGCCGTAACCTCTGATATGTTCTCTGTGTATGGTAGGATGATCTACCATCTGATTTTCGTGGTTAGCATCGTAGTTGGTAATGAAGTGGATAGTTATCTTTTAGTGAAGTTTCGTGGGTAACTGCTGTTCATTAAGACAGGCATTAAATGCATTTCTTCTTTTCTGCATAGAGATGTTGTAATGCAGTTTGTTCTCGCTCTTCTCATAACAGTCTGCACACAACGTGGATAAATACGAACTTGGAAAATGTATAAATGTTGGACAGAGGAAATATGAAGAATATCAGAGAATACATAGTAATGATGGGTAGTGGGTAGCGATGGAATCCAGAATGCGCATTTCGTCCTATTTGGGACTCATAAGCTGGATGTACCTGTCTCCCAGAGAGTGATGTCGTCCCCACCCGGATTCGGACTCGGGAGCGATCGCCTCAACTGCTACCCACTACCCATCATTACTATACATAATTAAAACAAAGGCAATATCGAGGCATCCGCATAGCAGCCTATATGCCAACAGAGACTGATCAATTCGGTCCAATCAACGACGGTGTAATACAAGCAATAACACTAATAATATCAGAGAATTCCTAAAAGCCTGGCATTCAGGTCAGTCAACAATCGACACATGTCTAGACATTGATCCAATCATTCAACGAATAAGAAAAAGTGGTAAACAGCCGCAAGGTCAGAGGCCAGACAGAGAAACAACCAACGAGAAAATCTATGCAGTCACCTACACAACAAGCAAAAGAAAGAACCAACCAAAGCCTACTTCACCAGGGCAAGCTACTGAATCACTCGTTTGAAACAACAACAGTTACGAAGATGATGGTAAGTTTGATTAGAGGCATAAAAAGGACAGAAATTTCATGGTTGCTTTCTTTATTAGCTATAAATAAACGAAAAGCATCCGAGTATAATTTACTTTCATATTTCGACTCTTTGCACATGCAACTGTTGTGTCAATAAATGTTCAGTCAATGAAAACGAAAAATGAATAAGAAGGGAATTTAAACCCTAAATAGTAATCAGAAACACAACTTTGATAGATTCAGATTTGTGTACTAACTTTTCTGTTTTTCCTTAGTATAAGAAGTTGCTTTTCAGAGTGAATTCAAGTTATAACCTTTTTAAAAAACATTTCAAACGTAATCTTACTTTGTAAAAACAGTTTGATCTGTACAATCACCTTGTTCTATGCGTAACCTAATGCGTACATACAATGTTCTTTCGGATACAGTGATATTCATTGGATACACATTCTTGGCATCAATTTTATCTAAAAGGCAAAAAATAGAATCCACTTATATATTTAATCATTCTGGCTTTCAACATTTCGTATTCTACTACCTGGTTGCGTAAACCTCTATAGATGAAGCAGGTTTCTGTGGTTGAAACTTGAGCTGATGTGTATTCATTAAGATACTGGTAAATGCAAGTAAAGAGTTCGAAAATGGAGTCAAACCTTCATCCTAGATTTCACTGCTAACCACTACAAATTGCACATAACCACAATCGTACTACATTCAATTGTGAGGCATCTGAACAAGAAGATACTGTATTAACAAATATCTGGGAATATCAGAACCTTTAATCGTATACTGTTACCCTTTGGACATCATAATTTAGGAGTCTGATGAATAAGATTGTGTAGCTTAAAGTGATAGATTCTAGGTTGCAATATCGGAGATTGTTTACTAAATTTTGTTAGCACATATGATTAACTTTTCCAAAATAGGGTTCTGATTAACAGCCCTTAATACAAACATCGTCTCTGGCTGCATAGTTTATGAAAGACTACAAACCTAGATAATTTTACACCAATCAACTTTATTTCTGAGTATAAACTTGCCTAAGGTAGAGGTATTTAGCAGTCATAATTAAAAAAACGGCGCAAACTTGATGTAAAGATATATATAATCCAATCGTCGCTCGGTGATATAGCGGACAACTTTCTGGCGTTTGAAGCAATCGCTACCGAGTCCCAATCCCGGTGGGGACAACACCCACTGGGAGGCAGGTACATCCAGCTAACGAGTCTTGAATAGGACGAAATGGGGATCCTAGATTCCACTGCAAGTCACTATCCATTTTTACCCAATGACTTAGTTAATACTTGATTGAAAACATAATCAATGTATGAGCTCTCTATATGGTAGTAAAACCAGAACTGATTTGCAGTTGTAGTTAACTGATTTTAACAGTTTACTGGTAACTTTCTGAGTTACGATATTACTTATCATGCTAATGAGTATAATCACTCAAAGGTCCCCTTTTATTTAGTATTTCAGAAACAACTCTTAGTCTTTAATTTTAGTTTCCTCAATCACCTTCTTTCTTTAAAATACAGTTTATACACGTGTTTCACTTATGAACATTCAAGCGCAGAACATCAATATTGGATGTTGACTGACTGCAGTCAATGAGACTGTGTTTTCCTGTGTCATACCTTCCATTTCATGATATATTACTAGGAGTAGCAAACCAATGTAAACTATATTTTCTCTTTTGCAAAAGGCTGAGGTGTATACATAAATTTTATTTGAGCATACTTAGTGTTGTGCATATAATTGGTGGTAATTTGGACTAGTGAGCAAAACGTTATGATTTATCAATACTTAACATTTATGCATGGCTTACTTTACAAATGTTAGTTCTGTTACACAGAATATTCAAGCTAGTAATTATGTTCCAAAAACAAAACACCACGGAATAAGTTGTTACTTACTAGAAAAGATATCGCATAGGACAGATATTTCAATTTCTTCAAACAAATCCATGATCAAATCCTTCTCTTCTATAGGTTGTACAATGTTTTTCTTGTCTTTTAGATATTCCTACACATAAAAAAGTTAGTGAACAATAACCAAAATAAACTGTGGTAACCATCAGCTTTTAACACTACTAAATTCTCGGTAAACATCTAAAAAGACTTTTAATTTGACCTAACTGGATGTAGCCGGAGAATGTGGTTTACAGCTGGATTCAAACCAAAAGTTTCTTCCATCTGTATCATTCATACTGGCAAGCACCTAATCATTTCTTCCCTGTGAATCAATATATATATATATATATATCAAAGGAGAATGGAAGGGTGTAAAGAATCGCCTAGTGTAGTAACGAACAAACAGTCACACAATATCATGTTAGCTTGAAAAGTGCTCGTAAAGCCAAATAGTCTAATGTTTAACAAGCGGTTACATTTCCAAGTAAAACTGTTGTGGAGGTTAACTGATAGATAAACCAATGAGGTAAGATGCTTTCCAATGAACCATAAATTATATTTCCTTTCAGTTTTATGCATTATCATTATGCGTGAACTGTTGTAATCTTAGGTGATATGAAGGTAACAATCATTATCAAAACTACTTGGGACAAATAGTTACCTAGGAATGTGAACAGAATGTGGCATAAATTCATTTCAATTATTACACGTAAAGAATAACCATTTTTATTCCAACTGTTTATATTCAAAATTTGATGCTCTTAACCCGTAATCGTTTCTTTTGATTTCAAAGCTTGTATATCTCCGTCGAAGACTGGATGGAGATTATCTGCCACTACTGGCATACGTACTTCTATGTGCATGTCTCGATGTGGCCCATACGTTTCAAATCCGATATTAATGATAAATAGTGACTAGTAATGGAATCCAGGACTTATTAGTTGGATCTGCTTGTCTCCCATTGGGTGAAAGTGTTCTCATTAAGATCTGAGCGCAGATCAATTACTTCAGGCACCAAACCGTTATCCACTACTCCCTAAACAACGGATATAGTAAACTCTGATATAACATGTGCATCTTCATCTTTGATTGAACCGAATTTTAAAATACCGGTAATACTGAAGTCTCATTTAGCCCCAATCAGTGATTCAGATGGGCAAGCCATAACACCAAAGATTGTACTTATCGCACAAGAAGTGCCTATCGTGACTAGATGACGGTAGATAATGCTCTGGCATCTGAAGAGACTGGCCACGGGTTCAGGTCACCCACTAGGATTCGAGTACATTCAGTCGACGAGTCCCAAACGGGACGAGACGCGCGTTCTAGATCCCACTATCCATCAATAAAAGGCAATTGTTTTTCCTTTGAAAGTAACGAAAACTTTCAACTTCAGCCACCTTTTAGTAGAAGCAGTATTATTCACTTATCTTTAGTAGTCAGTTAATTCGAAACCTTATGATGCCTATGCTTTGTATACAGTTTACACAGACGCCATTTTTAATTTCATTTGCGAATAATTACTTTTAGGCGCTGTTTAAATCTAAGTGAATCTAGGACAGGGAGATAATGTGTACTTTCTGTTGGCTGAAATGTCATCAATAACTTGTTCGAGTATTTAGTGATGATCATATTCTATCAGACAAGGAATTTTTTCAGATTACAAACCTTAGCATTACTACTATGCAGAATATTTGTAGCTGAAGTGGATGGTCTTGGTTGTACTGCTTTCTCTGAGCTGGGTTACCGAGCCTAAGTTTACACTTGTTAGTCATCATCAATAAGTCACTGTTTGCTGTATCTATAAACTTAACTTTCCAATTTAGATTTCCTTCCATTTTTCATGCTTCTATTACTGATGACGGTCACAGCAAGAAGATGGTTAACATTAGGATTATATCTTGTGGATCTACGTTTCAACTTGGAGATTCGAGAGAATTCATTTATCCCAAGTTGGTATTCCTCACCTCTAGGTCCATGGTTGGATACCTGGTGTAGTTGTAAGTGCAGACTGCTGAGGAGTCCCATACTAGGATGAAATAGCTGTCCGATGCTATCAGGTTTTCAACGGTTCTGTAACTTATTTCGATCTATGAAGAATACCAACCTGAGATCCACGTTTCTGCGTACGGGACTAAGTGAGTTAATTCATCATTTTAGCTTAAGATTTGATATGATTACATCCTGATGACTGAATGCTTAGTACTTAGTAAACAATAAAAGATCAAAGACACAGAAAATAGCTCAACTAACTTTTGTAATCTTGATAGAGGACCTCAGAAATAAGATTGAAAGGAGCCTGTGCCTGCACTTACCTCTGATGGTAAGCCATTGGAAGGAGTCAAAACGTTCGTGTATCTGGACAGTGCTGGTGGAGGTGTGAGTGGTGACATTCCCAATCACATATCGAAAGCCATAGTGACATATATCAGTCTACATCACCTTTGGAGCCGTCATGATGTCGTTAATCTAACTGTAAAAGGTCGAGTTTAAAAAGCTTCGGTGCAAGCAGTTCTGCTTTATGCCTTTGAAACCTAACCTCTGCTAGCTGAGGGTGTGAGACGACTTTGCATGTCCAGTCATCGTTGTCTCCACAGGACTGCTTGTATCCATTAGTAACACCATGATGGAGATCATCATTCAATGAGTGAAGTCATCTGGAAACACAGGTTTTGGTGACCTAGATATGTGTTACGCATGTCGTCCCAACGACTTCCACACCGTCCATTGTTTGCTAACCTTGGGACGGAATTGGTGAAGCGAAGAGGTGATCAGTGTGTAACGTGGCGCCGTGGGATCAAGGATAGTTATATGGGGTTAGGACCTATTGATACATCACGATTCCCTGAGTGATGTCCTAGAGATGACACAACTCAGTGACTTGAAACGTTATCAGATATGATTCATGATCGAAACCAGTGGTGGTCATGCTGTAACTTCCTTCTACCTTCCGCTGCTGAAAATTAATGAATGTTTTGTTTTGAATGAATCTTACTGGACTGCCCTTCTAATCATTCTCTTCTTATTGCGTTTTATTTTTATCCATTTCCCCTCGCTTTACGTCGCTATAATGTTGTTATATTATTTTGATGCATTTGACGTATCATGTTTATGTCTAAATAATAATAATAATGTAATGATCGGGAGTTGACAAGACGTTTATTTCAAATGACTAATATTCAGCTTTGGATAAAATATGAACATCAGAAGTAATCAGTAAATTCCAACTTATAAATGTTGAATTAGGGTTTTATCTTCTATTAAAGATCATATTACTGAATATCTGCGAATTCACTTATCACAGTAATACATACAAATAAGCTGATCTTAATATTACTAGAAAGGAATTTAGGCAATTCAGAAGCTGATCCCATATTGAATAAGTATATAAATTATTACTCAATGCATACATAATGCCTTACTAAAGAGTCGCTTTTAAAAATATGCTGATGATTTTGGAAAAACATTATGAATTGGTTATGGATAGCCAGTTGCGTTCTGTCGATTCAGTTTTCATATTTAATGAAAGTCACTGAGAGCAATTATTCAGCTTGAGGGAAATAACACGTCAGTATTAAAAACTGTAAATCGATAATGAACTTTGAAATGATGCTACACTTATCTTAGCGGGACTGTTTAAGTTCTTCTAATGCACTAATGAACACGAAGTCAAACTAGAGAAATGACTGTCTTGTATTTTGATCACTTGGATCTGGCTAGTGAGGAGTGAAGGTGGTGTCAAGTTGATTGCACCGTCAGATTTCAGATATAAGTATGCATTCGACAGCTTGTATACTCTCAGTCTTGATTACTTTAATTTGGGGGTTTGTGAGGATTCATTGATTTCAAGTCGCATTCATCATGAACTGACATCAGGTGGAGGAGTATTGGAAACCTGGGAGCACTTGAGATCTGTTTCATCCTGGTATGAAAATCTTCAGTCGGGCGTATTCGTGACCTCAGCAGGACGAAACAGCTGTCCAGCGTTGCCAGGTTTCTGATGTGCCTGCAAGTGATGTCAGTCCATGATGAATACCAACTTGGCTAATTCACTTACGTCATGGAGACGACACATTGTTATCTGAAAATTTCGCCATCCGAAAACTTCATTTCAGAAATGCCTATTAACCAGAGCGTTTTGTTTCAACCCAGACTGGATTCAGTATGAATCTAGTCTTTAGTCATTCAGCTTTATTTTCCTACATTAATCTCTATTAACAGTTGTGTATGAATTGGTTTCCTAACGTCTGTACCGTTGACAATTCACTGGATGTTCAGCTGTACGCCAAATCATGTGAGTGAAAATTTGTATGTTGTCATGCTAAAAGTATTTAGCACGATACAAGCTTGTCTACTACCTTCACAATCTTCACACTAGGTTTTATTCCTCCATCCAGTTAGTTCATCCTGACAGCTAGTTTCTGAGTTGTCCAAAGTACTGAAACTAAGGCTCATGTATTCGCTGAGCATTGAATTTCGTACAAAATGTTAGTCTACTTGTTAGTAGTATAAATTATGTTACTTAATTATGATGATATGTGAGCATACTAATGCTAGATAAGTGCAGAATATGAATTAAGTCGTCTCCAGGTGCTGGGACAAGTAAACTTGAATTATATAAGATGAAACCACAGGAATGCATCGTATGAATGGACTCAGTTTTGAAATCTCCAAGGAATAAAAGATCTGCACACGAAGAATGAAATGAAGGATCTTAATTCCTATGACCTGTATTCCGTATCATCGAGTTCGGGTATAGAAAATCTGAAAAATGTGTGCAGAATCGTATGTCAGTGCAGTATAAAACTATATAGATGTTTAGTTGACTAAAAAAAGGATTATAGGGTAAATAATAGTGAGATTGCAGTACTAAACAAATACATAAATTAAAATGTCTCCTTCTGAAATAGAGCCATCTGTTTACGAGATTGGGATATCTAACAGACAGATTGGAATATCACTAAGCTGCATCGTACATATAAATCTTATTAAATCTGAAGTTTCTCATTATGACGCTTTCGACCTTATATCATGAGATACTTCCATAATGATTGAGGATGAGGATGTTTGTGGTTTGGTGTTCATTGATCTAAAGTATTTTGTCATAGATGTCTCATCATCAGGCTAGCTGACATTCTCAGCACCGACTTCATGAAGAAGGGCTAAATGAATGTTCAAGTAGTATCTTGCAAACTTTGAGTGTCGTCTAATTTCATTTTATTCCGTTAGGCTGGTATAAATTTTTGATACAGTGAAACTGTGCCATTTTCTAGTGTCATATTGCATTTCATTGTTGATTTGTTTCATGACTTTTTCGTCTGCTGAAAGAAGGCTGTCTAATTTTTAGGTAGGTTGGCTCTACATTATATTTGACAGGTTTGGTTGATATTCACGTGTTTGTTGGTTGGGCTACTGTGCTTATAGAAATTCTCTAGCAGTTTTTGAGTACTTTCTTTGGAGGATTTCAATACTCTCCCAGTAGAATTTGTCATCAGAGATGCACGGCTGCGTTGAAATCCACGGAGATTACGTCGTTTTATTATTCTGTTAGTTGGTGTTCATGACTTATTCGAACTGTCTAACAAGCGGAATTGCCAACGTATTGTGGCTAAACATCTCTGCACTTGATTTTTTGGATTATCTTTCCTGTCTTCCTTCCGTAATGAATCCTCCGACTAGCACAAAATGTCACGTAGTGATTTTGTTGGTTCATAAACCACTGTAATCTTTAACGGATAAAGCCACTGGCTCATAGTTTTTCAGATAATCTTGATGTTGGGTAGAGTATAGTGTTTAATGACTTCAGGTAATTTCAGTGTACTCTCTTCTGCTGATAAAAGCTTTTAATTGTTGTGGAGATAAACATAAGCTCCGGAAACTTTCTTCTACTCTCTATTGGGCTTCAGTGCTCTTGAGAATAGTGTCTGTTTACACTTCATGCAATCCACAGGAAGCTCGCAATTGTGGTTCAGAATTTCATCAGAAATGTGTTGTTCGCCCGTACACTTGAGTCTGTAAAGTCCCACCGTGTATTCTGCTGATGGGGACATCTAGGGAAGGAATTTTGTTGGTTTACTCCTTCTTTTTAAGGTGTCTCTTGGAAGGTTTAGTTGTTTGGTTTATACGTGTATTTCACTTCATTCTTTGTGAAAACTATGAACATGTCGTCAACTTAATGAATTCAAAAGGCATGAACATTCAAACTACCACAGTAATACTTCAGCAACCGCTTCTCACATCGACAGTCACATAAGTATCCCTTTTGTTTGCTTGTAAATCTTCCAAGTGAAGTTTTAGTAGGTCATCAGGCATGAATCAATCAACTCTGCTAGGTTTGACAGAGTGGCTTTTGTATAGTCTGAGAAATTTTGAATCCATTGAAGTCAACAGTGAAGACATATCAAAAGATTCCATCATTTCATCACAAGCAGAATGAAATAAGTTATGACCTATGTAAATTCATCTGTAAAAAGCACACCTCATAATGAAAATAAGACACAGCTATCATCAGTATCATACAACATTATATAAAGTGTATTCCTTTTCTGTGATTATTATGTCATGAATGTCGGGTTCAGCAACACTGTTTCAACCAAATATTTAATAACATGCAAGGTATTACTGAAAAAAACCCTATTATATGAAAAGTTAACAATCAGTCATTCATAAACGTTAGTGATGGACAATATAACCTTTTCGTATTCATTAGTCTGTAAACTACTGCAAATTTTAAAAGAAAATATTTAAAACTTACTTGAAATTACTACGTAACACAAGTGTGTACCAACGTTAAAATAATTGACTAATCGCTATAGGTAATTCAGTTATTCAAGAGGTCAATCATGGATGGAGTAGCTCAGTCTTAACGTTTCTAACTGTTATAGTGGGTGATGTGAGTTTGAATCTCACAGAAGAAATCACTCCCCTTGACGTTGCTGATATGTATTGGTGAAGTGCGCTAACAACTACGAAATTTCGGTCTAGGGTTTCTTGACAAATCACACCCAATTATCTAGTATAACAAGGACTCAGTCAGTAATAAGTTTCAGTTAGATATCCTACATTGAAGATATAGTGATACTGTTTTTCTCGTCCAGCATGTGAATAATGAATATACTTTCATGAGTTTGTAAATCTCCTATCACCTCGATACTATGTTATTAGCTTCGTCATTTAAAATCAGCACAACGGACAATAGTTTGGGCCATTAACACATTACTGACGATGTCTGTGTAATTAACTGATCAAAGTGTTTTTTGATATGTATGCCTGAAAGCCATTCCTGGTTACTGATAGTAGACGAGTTATTTTTCGGGAATTTACTATCAACAGTTGATTATCTTATGGATTATTTCCTTCCCTTATTTATTCATACTGAGATTTTATCTAATTTCTTTACTATGCAAACAAATTAGAACAGTGCTTAACCTAACTTCTAGTTCAAACAACACTATAGAATGCAGCATTTTACTGTTCATAAAACTTTCACCTCAGTAACTATGTCTTGTTATTGAGACAGTACAGAAGATTTGTTGTTCACAATGAAGTTGATACTTTTTTGGTGTTCTTTAAGATTTCAGGCTTGCTCCCGGATATTTCATCGTCAGACTTAGTAATAACATTAATAATAATAATAACATATTGATTTTATTCTGACAGTGCAGAATTCTCAGCATGTGATATTGTTTCAGTTTGCACATTGTACAACGCTTTTTTAATATGTATTAATTTTGGTTCTTGTCAATAATACATAATAATGAACAACGAGTTTGTTGTCAAAATGCTGAATAACTTCAGCATCATGACAGCCGTTCGCTACGATAAATTTGATTGGTACGACTCTGACTAACATGATTTTCTTCATACAATACACAAGCTAAATAAGGATTACACACAGTTGGTGCCCTTCAAAATTTTTAGCAATGTTAGAACAACAAAATTAACAGAATACGATGAATCCACTGCATGTCGTCACCTTTTCATAAGATATATACATAGAGAAAAAACATCCACATAATTCACTTATCAAGTAGATGATATTCCATTGATGACATAATGAAAGGATTCATACAGGCCAGAGAAGTTCAAATGAAGTGATTTTCGATTACTAAGATTGAAGTTATCTTATTAATATAAGTGTAAAACTTGGGCAGTGTGGTCAAGTGTAATTCCATTTTAGTCCGTTTATTGGAAATATCATACAGTGAAACAGTAGCATTTACTGGATAACCTTTCGGACACAATTTATTGTCCATATTCATATCAGGTAACTCCACAACTTCAAGACAGTCTTTATATATTCCTAATTTTATCTCCTTCTCTGTGATGACAAGGGTAGTAGAATTTTCCATATATCTGGGACAAGTGCAGCATCATTTCGATCGCATGTGTTTGGTGTTGATTCGATAGACAAAGATTTGGTTATCAATCTCTCCCCCCACCCAAATAAGTTAGTTTTCAAAACTGTCACCCTATCCCACCCTACTGTGTGATTGTGTCATCGCAAGCATAGCTATAGCCGAGTTTTTCTCTAGACTACTTATCTTATTACTAATCTTGATTTAACTAAGTTTTTGTCCTCTCTTATTCTAAGCTACCCTGGTCGACTGTTTTGACTTAAGCACTTGAGCTCGCAATCGTTGCAAGGGATCTGGTAAACCAGAATATTTTGCTTAATTGCATCGATAGGATCTTTTAAACTAAAAAGCTTGTTTCGAAGTGGGTTTGTTGGATAAAATGCCACTTTAATCCCAGCCTTATTGAGAATTCTTCGTAGTGCTACTGAGATGAATAACTTGTAAGGAAACACAGCCGACACCTAAGATATGGTGGCGGTATGTAGATGACACATTTACAGTGTTGAAATCGGAACATATCGACAGTTTCTTGACACACATAAACTCAGTAGTTAACGCAATCCAATTCACTTACGAAGTAGAAAATGAACAAGGAGAATTACCTATGTTGGATTGCAGAATAAAACGAAGGATAGATGGTGGTTTAGATACTACCGTCTACAGAGAACCAACACATTCTAACAGATATCTAGACTTCAAGTCATCTCATCCAGTGTCA